GCCAGCCTCTTCTCCGTGGTGCCCAGCAACAGGACAAGAGGCAACGGGCACAAACTGAACCACAGGAAGTTCCATCTAAACCTGAAGAAAAACTTCTTCACTGTGAGGGTGACAGAGCACCGGAGCAGGTTGCCTGGAGAGGTTGTGGAGTCTTCTTTGCTGGAGATATTCAAAACCTGCCTGGACGCGATCCTGGGAAATATGCTCTAGAGGACCCTGCTGGAGCAGGGAGGTTGGACTAGATGATCTCCAGAGGTCCCTTCCAACCTAAACCATTCTGTGATTCTGTGATTTCAGCTATTATGTTTCAGAGCTTTTAAAACTCCTTTTACTGGTAAAATTTTAAGGGTGAAAAGAGGTTTCCAAATCTGGTTTCTTAGCAAAATTGTTCTTTTTATATTCAGGCTCTTTATTTCTGACATCTTCTCATACAGCAGGGTGCCAGAATACTAAATAAATTTTGTTAATTCGCTCATCTTTGACAGTTATGGCAACCCACATTCACCAGTGAAAATAAGCTGCTGCTCTAGAACTTCACTAGCCATTCCTTAGCACACATTCATGCAATAAAACCTTCTATCCAGCTACTAGTTTTTGCTCAGGAGAAAACAAACATCAAAACATGAATAGTGCAGGCTTTCACTGCAAGGTGTAGCACAGTGGTAAATGATGGTAAAAGCTTGCACGGGGCTCTCCTGTACCGTGCTTGATTTGACACAGAACAATTAGTTCCCAATTTTTAATGGACAGAAAACCTCCCCAATCTTCTTAAGAAGACAGACTAGATTTAATTGTCTAGAAACCCACAATGATTGGCTCGAAAGCAAAAAATCTGTTCTGCTAACCTAACTCCCTGCCAAATTATACTTGTTTGATCACTTTTATACTACTTAGGTTTTACATGTCAAAAAATGTACAGAGCAGAACAGACTTAAGATATGGAAATTTTAGTCCATGAAAAGGAGTCTGCCATTTTTAACTGCGTGGTTATATGCACTAACAACTCTTTAATATTATCACTATGGTAATAAAGAGCATCAGCAAGTGAGGGATTAGAAAACAAATTGGACATCACTGCCTGCTGATCATGAGTCATGATTAATGATTCATGTAAGGTATTATCATTGAACGTTTTTTTTCTAAAATCATCTCTTACGGTGCTGGTCAGCACCTACTACTTTTTTTTTTTTAATAAATAATATTTTATTTTAATAGCTCAGTCACAGAAGGCTAACCACTCAGGAAAAACATGTTATTTAAGCTTCAGCTCACTGAAACTAAAGGGATTTCTGCTGATCTCTAACAAAATTTCAAAGTTTCAATCAAAATGGAACACTTGCAATCCACTGCATGACAGAGATTGATTTTTTTTTTTTGTACCATAAGTGAAAGCAATGCAAGAAAGATACTGCAGTAATCAGAATAGTGTTGTAGGACAAAGAGATATTTATCACATCAGAATTTTGGAATCTTCCGTTTAGCATAAAGTAATTACGTCTGTTTAGATACATTTCCAGAAATGAAGCCTTAATCTAATTTTAAGAAGAGAGACCTACTATAGCCACTAACTTCTCTGGGGCATATAATTTATGGATGGTTTTTATAGTGACCAAATTTCTGACAGTAATAATGAACACTATGGACAACTAGTATTTCTCAAATGTTTTTAAAACTGCCATACCTTTAACATGTCGCTGGTGACAACTAACAGATAAGCAGTAATTGTTCATTCCACAGTCTCCAGTTATAACTGTAACTTGTTATTGGACCTTTAACATAAGATAATTTTTTAAAACCATTTGGCACTCACATGGCTGTATATTACCCTTGCCTGGGGGCTAGCAGATCCCTGGTTAATATGAACACACACCCAAAATTTCAGTATCAAGGAAATGATAAACTTATGCAAGAACTATATGTATATATATTTATGTACAGACAGACACACAGGCACATACACATAAACAAAAATATGTAACAGAGGCCTGGTAACTGCTTAGTTAAAGTTCAGCTCACATAACGTTAAGAAAAAGATGATGGGGTGGTGGGGAGGGAGAATGGAGGAAACACCAGCACTAAATCTTCCCTTTCTAATTGAGGAGATTCCATGGGAAACTATAAGCCCCAGTTCACACCCAAACATATTTGCCATACACCATTATTCTGTTGCAACCTCAATTTTTGTCTTCTCACACACTGCATCAAATAGCAACCTTGGGCAATATTGCCAGCTGCTGCCAAAAGAGATAGCATAAAGATAGGTGGTCAGAGCAACAGATAAGGGAAACACATAGCAACCTCCTCAGTGGGTGGATCTAAGACAAGCCAGAGAAAATATGCTGTGAGCTCACATGAGCATTTGACCTGCATGCATGAACATGAAAAGCTGCATTAGAGAGTATCTACACAGAAATAATCAGCAAGATAAAATATGCAAGAGAGTCACTGGAAAACAACTGGGGAGAAGAGATGTGTGGATGTGTTTTTATCATGCTGAGCTTACAATGACTGGCCAGTCATCTGTGATACATCAGAGAAAGGCACATACCCTTTTATTTGGGGCAGGAAGTGTCAGGTGTGAAGGGCAATACAGATCTGTGAATCCCCTGCAAAGAGACAGCAGCACAAACTCTGGTTTTGGATAAAGATATCCTGAGATTAAGTGCAGGGGAAAAAAAGAAAAAAAAAAAAGATATTGCATACAAAATCCATAAACAAAATCTCAGGGAAATGAAAATAGTCAAATGACATTGCAAAACAACAATTACAAAGGTGAAAGCACAACCAAGAGAAGGTATGTCACTTCCATAACACTGCCAACAGCATCAAAGGTAGCCAGCAGGTCATGAAACCCAGGAGAACTTGACTAGATGAAGCCCTCCAGCAGGAGCAATTTCAGTGACAAGCACAGAAGTGTGAAAGTGGGAAACTGAGAAAGGGGTAGAAATTGTCTTCAGTTGACATCAAGATGATCAGGATTCTTGGTTCAACTGTGTGTTTGCCCACGTGTGTGTTAACAGCCGCTGTGGAAGGCATTCATTTGTACTAGAGAACAATGAGCGACTGTCAGATGCTGCACTATGTTCCACAGCGATGGACTAATGAATGGAAAGCAAGTGGTGACCCAAAACTGAGAACCTGCACAACAGACCTTATAATGTGAAAGCAGACAAAAGAGCAGAGCAGGAAGGAAAGAGATAACCAAAGCATGAAAATACTCCATCTGTAGAAAAAAGGAAGGTTGAGAATGAGTGACAGTCATTAACACTAACTGACTGAAACCTGGGACAACGGGCTGGTCAATGACTTTGGGGGAGGAAAAAAAAAAAAAAAAGAGTTCTTGGACAGAAAGAAGGTATTTAGCAACAGCAAAATCAAACAGGGGACAGCACCAGATGAAATTCTAGTCAAGAGAAAGGACCTCACAGGGACCAGGAGTCACGGACCACGATATCAGACACAATAAAGGTGAGGGAAGGAGTTATCACCTACAGAGTTCCTCAGCAACACTGGCTGAAGAGGCTACTGTTGCCCGCTGCTTGTCACCACCCTTCACCTGAAGGTTACAGAGACACCTACCTACCTCACCTGCTTAGGCATCGCTAATTCCTTCGGTCAAAAATGGGTTAGATCAACTTAAACATGTTATATAACAGGTCCTTCCAACTCTAATTACCAGCTGAGGCAAGCTAGGGGCAGTCACCTCACCAGCTGTCTTATATGCAGTCAGAAGAAAGCAGCGAGCAGATCTTAAGCAGGCTAAGGGGTCTAACTCATGCCTTTTTCAAGTTACAGAAGCTCCCATGCCTGCTGAACCTCACTCAGACTTTTAGCACACTGTCTCTGGTACCCATATTGTGGAAAATGGACAAATTAGGTTGCATCAATAAACCCTCTAGTTCAATGCAAAGATCCTTAAAGAGCTTTGCAGCCCCTCTAAAAATGGGCCTTAGAAGTAGCTAGTATTATAAAGGACTGTCTTTTAGCCATTATGTCAGAGAACAGACAGTTCTGGCTCCCACTTTTCAGTGTCAGTGTTAGAAACAATGTTTACTTGTCCAGGAGCTAAGAAAGCAAGAACTGAGAAGATATTTAAATTGTTGAGATCTAATTGAATTGGATTGTTGATATCCAGTTGTATCCAAACTTAAATTGTTTCAAAATTGGCTTACATGAAATAAAAATAAATTGTGGAAAAAATCTTTTAACACTACAAGTTAAAAAACAAAGTGGTTTCAGTTGTTTTTCCTTTCATCTGGCTCATCATTTACACCTCTTCCCTGCCTTCATCCCTATTTTCTTTCAGCAGACACCATTCTTTCTGAACAGCTGAATTTTTGGATGGCAAGTTAAGTGTTTTCCAATTTACTCGTTCTCTGTTTTGTTTTTTTTAAATGCTCCCTCCAGGCTAAGGTTTAGACCTGTACTGTCTCTCTTGTTCCTAACCAATTATAGTCTCTTTTAATCACGGCTTAATTCGGCTTAATTGTTTTTTTATTATTATTATTTTTTAAGTTAATTTATTTTCACTGTCATCTCAAAAGTCTTTCCTTTGCAGAAGTAATGCTGCATTCCAGCAAAAGCTGCACAGACGATTATCAGAAAAGGGGCATCGTCATTTCCATCATTCCACTCCCTTCGAGGGCCTGACTGCCATTGTGCTAGAGAGAAATCACAGCAGCTTAAGAATAAACGCCCCACCTCTCTCATTGAAATATATGTCTGGAAAGCTGCTGCCAAAGTCTACAAGCACTAAACTCCTGCCACAAATTCACTTACACAGCGGCCCAAAGTTCTCTTGCACTTTCACCTGCCAAATTAAGATATACAGAGCAGTCAACACGCCAAAAGAGAATAATTAAGCTCTTGCCACAGAAATGGGTTTAACTGGTCCGAACTTTGTACTGTTGTAAAACCAGTAAACAAATTACAAAAATATACTCATGACCAGTGAAAACTGTTTTCTTCAAGGATGCAAAAGAGCTGACAGAACAGGTCTTTCCATAAATACATATGACATCACCTAATAAAATTTGGGTTTGGTCAAATGGTGAGTACAAGATATGAATCTCACAGAAAAGGTCCTTGCAGAAGGGATCTGTTATGTTCAGCAAAAAGCACGCAGTATCTTTATTTTTCAGTGCTATACCTAAAGAGGTCCAGTTTGCCTGTTAGTGAAGGTCCCTGTATAACGGTGACAGAAAAGAGTTTCAAGTTCACATAAAACTCATTGTCCATTACGTACCATTGGACACCTTTAAAAGGAACAGAGGCACTGCTTAACAGGAACAGAAACGAGCATGGTCAACTCACCATTTGCTTCTTAGACACCAAACGGTTAATGATTAAAAGCGCAAATATACATTCATCATAGCTTCGACCTCAAACATCGATGCTTTCCCAAGGATGAATTTGCCTCGAAAAATTTTGGAGTCTAGCAGCGCTCTGGACTCCACTCAGCGCACTGCTCTTCCACATTGCTCCTGTTACCATCAGCGTTAGGAGTAAACAGCCCTGCTGACAGCAACTGCACAACGCACGTCCTCTGCCCCCTGTTCCGACACCAGGAACCAACAGGAGGACAGCAGGACAGTTGTCCTCTGCCTCCTTGGCCCTGGCCCTACGTGATAAATTCCGGAGGACAAATACACGCTGTGCTGCATTACCCTGGGATGAAAGCAAACATCTGCCGGGAGGAATACCCCTTCCCCAGCCCTGGGTCCTCACTGTTGACCTTAAGGGAGGCCAAAATCCCCACAAGGGCACCAACGTAGAGCACCTGTAGTAGTGCATGCCTGAAGTACTTAATCTAACTTTCACACACATTTTTGGCCCTGACAAGGGGAAA